GAAGTAAATTGGATAAAATAAGTCAGTATAATATTTATTAATTTATAGTTTGGCATATTTTTTTAATATTTAGTGTAATAACACTTAACTCCATGTGGTTTGAGCTTTGTGCATATGACACCATTCTACTTTCAATATATATAAGCACATAACCTCCATACAGTGAACTTTGTGTTTTTAACTCCCTCCTATGATATTCCACTTGGTAAATAATCATGCTCGTTAGAAAGATGAAATTTTTGAAAGTACAACAGGAGTATATGCTTATATTAAAATAGGGGGTCATGTGCTATATTAAAAGTATAAGGAGGTTATGTGCACAAAGTTCAAAACATACGGGAATTATTGTTATTTACACTGATATTTTACTAATGAATGATAATTTGAACAGCGAGTCATTGTTATTTCAAACTTGTACAAAAAGTGCTATATATAATTCAAAAGTGATTTGTGCGATTTTCAGCACAATTTGAGGTGATTTGTGTGGTTTACAAGACAATTTTGGGTGATTTGTTCGATTTTTAGCACAATGGGGCATTTTATGCAATTTTCAGCATTTTTTTATAACTATTAGAGTGTTTTTTTTTTTTTTTTTTTTTTTTTTAATTAAAGCAAAGCCAAAAAAATTTAAAAAAATATGATTCAGATAAGTTCTATTGTTATCCCAATTAAAATTAACAAATTTGTTCAACACCACATAAATCATAAGTAATTTATATTAGTAAAGGTAATAAAACAGGTAATAATATTTCTAAAGATTACGATTTTTTGTTCTAATTAATAATTTAATATTAACTTTTTTATAATTAATGTAATTTTATTATACGATATATACTTTATATTGTTTTTAATATTTAGTCAGATATCTTACAATACAAGATGCAGGAAGATACGTGAAAGACGATACACAGTACATTCATGTATAATAACAATGTTCCAAAGTCCAATGTTGACCCAATACATTCAATTTGTAAGATCAGTGATTGGTTGAAACAAACTGCTTGCATTGTTGCCTTACACGTGTCCACACTACAGACGGCGCCAGTCGGATTTTACTCCTCACTATTTGTCAGTTTTAAATGTAATGATACTAATAAGGGAAAATTACAAAACACACCCCTGAGGTGTTGTCAAATTACAAAAATTCCTTTCATGTTTAGATAATTACATTTACCTAGCTATGAAGCTTCTTACACAACCATCCTTATGATGTCAAATTCAACATAATCATCTAAATTCCGTGGAATATTCTCTAATTTGTACTAGTTTTGTCCACAAATACAGTTTCTAATGCACCACAAACTGATATATATACAAGCCAAAAAACGCATCTTATGATCATCTTGCTTCAAAATGTGGAGCTTGAATGGGATAAAACGGGTACAAAATTGTAAATATACTATATAATCTAAAAGATTCAACTAAGTTTGAAACCGCAAGGATGGACGTGTAAGAAGATTTATAGTTGAGGGTGGTTGAATTACCCAAACAAGAGGGTGGTTTCGTAATTTGACCATACCGCAGGGGGTGTTTGTAATTTACCCTACTAGTAATAAAAAGGGGTTAAATACAGTTTACACCATAAAGTATAACATCTGTAACATTTGCCCCTTAAAGCATCATTTGTAACACTTACCCCCATCAAACTCAATTAATTTGTATTTTAAATCCCAATACATTAAAATTTTATTTTTTATTTAAATAAATAACTACAAGAATAATTAAATTATACAAATAAAAATTGCTATTGAAAAATACATATTTAAAAATTTAAAATATTATCTTGTGTCGGGAACATATTTAATAAATACCATGTAATTGTTATTGGAACAAGTAATCAAATATTTTCATATCGATAAATTTTAAGAAATCAATGCATAACTAATAGTAATATTAAGTATTCAAATATATTTTAGTTCATTAGTTTCATAAATTATATTTCTACTCATTATTATACAACATATATTACTTTTTTTTCCAATAATTTTATTTTTTAGTTACTTCTCATTTTTTTATGATACAATAATCAATAGATTGTTATGTTTATTAGTTTTTAAATTTTAAAATATAAAATAATTGATGTTGAGGAGGGTAAGTGTTACAAATGATATTTTTTGGTGTAAGTGTTACGTAAGCTATACTTCAGGGGTGATACTTATAAAAAAAATTGATTTAATCCTACTTTGCACCCTTGAAATATACAATTTTGACACTTTGCACTCTCGAAATAAATTAATAGTACTTTGCACCCTGAAAACACAATATATCATGCATAATGCACCCCAAATGAATTTTTAAAGCTAATAAAGGCAATTTAATATTTTTAGTAGCATTCTTTTAGGATACCGAATGTCAAATCATTTTTTTATTCATCAGTCATTTTAAAACTATATAGTGCAAAAATAAAAATACATTTTATCAATATATTTAAAAAAATTATTTTATCACAAAAGAAATATTTTACTAAAGAAATCCTTCAGCTATTTCGTTCTCAAGTTACCTGAAAATCATATTTTCTTCCAAATATTTCTACATAATATTTCCACCAATTAAAATAAAAGATCCATTAATCGAATAATATATTGATTAAAAAATATTTTATTTTATTTTGTAAGAGAATATAGTTTTTTTTTCAATAATTCGGGGTAATTTTTATTTTTTCGCACTTTGTGCGCTTGGAATTAGATTGAAGGTTGAACAAAATAACAATTTAATTTATTATTTTGAACCTCGAAAAAAACGAATAAAAAATGAAATTCTATTTATTATTCAATTTATGGTACATTGTGTATGATTTCTTGTGTTTTGAAGGGTGGAAAGTGCCAAAGTGGGATTAGGCCTAAAAAAATTAATGAAATTATTCTTATTTTTATAACAAAGATACATATACTGAAATATTGAACCTGCTTGTTACCAACCCTCATTAGGAGAGTTGGTACCTAGCCATACCATTAGAGTAAAAGGTTTAGGGTTCGAGTCCCCCATCCACTATTGCCCTTTTAACAACTTGAATTGCCACCAAAAAAAAAAAAAAAAAAAAAAAAAAAAAAAAGAAAACGTACATGCTTGTTATTTTTATCAAACATGTCTAGAAACTTGTCATGCAATGCAATGAACTATCTCCAAAAACCAGATTTGGTGACATCAGCACCGTTTTGGATATCTAGTGTGCTCTGTGACTAATTCGAGAGCCCCACTTGATTTTCTGTCAGCAATCTCGTTTTTCTTTTTTTCTTTTCTTTTCTTTTGTATATTCTCGACAAATAAGTTTTACTATTTAATTCAATATTTTCTTGATAAATCTTTATTTATTTTTATTTCAATATGAGCTAACCCCCTCTAGAAAAATATCAAATGGGAATTTGAATTTGATTTAATTATATCTTAGTATTATTCAGAAAAATTGTAACGAAATACTTTTACTTATACACATTCCAATGATAGGAATGGTGGCTCAATTACACTGGCACTGCCATATTACATTAAAAATACTCAAATTCAGAAGTTTGCTGTATTTGTTACAAAATTTAAAACAATTTTAACAAATCTAAAAAGTTTAATGTCAATATTAAGCAACTTCAGAAGATCGGTGTCAATTTTCATAAACTCATTGTCGATGTATCACGTTAATTTTTAAATGTTCATTGTCAATTTTCGCAAGATCGCTGCTATGTTATATTAAAATATTCAACTTTAAATAATTTGCTATGAATTTTGAAAGTTCATTACCAATTCTTCACTAGTCTAATGTCATATTATGTTAAGAATGCTTGATTCTTAAAAGTCCACCCATCTATTTTCAAAAGTTTCCTAATATTATGTTAAAATTACTCTTTCTTTTTTTATTTTTTTATTTATTTATTTTTTAATTTTACTTCCGATTTTCATAAGTTCAATACTATTTTTTCAAAGTTCTAAAAAGTGATTATCGGGTCCGAAGAAGTTAGGGACCGCAACACGATAAATCGGTACAGCGGTGATTAATTATTGGAGATAAATCGAAAATAAATTATTTTTTAGATCTAGTATAATATATTTCCAAATATTATTTGTAAATAATTAAAATCTATATTAAATATATTTAAATGTCATTCTACCCCCTGCCGTCTACAGCTGTATCAGTTTGTAGCAGCCATCGGACGAGTGTTGTTTGTTTTGGGTTAATAAGTTTTTACCAGGTTCTTCTTTCTTACGAGGGTGTGACTTGGTTTGGTTTTCGTTAAAAAAATTGTGTTGAAACATGGAAAACCAAAAAAAAAAAAAAAAAAGAAGGAAAAAAAAAAAATCCCCTAATTTCCTTTTAATTAAAAAAAAAAAAGGATTTTTTTTGGTTTATTTGACCCAGCCTCAAACTGCCACAAACCGGCTCACTGACCAAAACCCGATTTTTCAAAGCGCCTCACTAATATCGAAAGGTTTACGACCGCCTCTGATATTGCGGCCACCACGATCGATATTTAGAACATCACTGCTAATTATCACTCTTAATTGTAGGGGTGATAAACAAGTCGAGCCAACTCGTGAGTTCGATAAGCCGGCTCGAACTCGGACTCGAGTTTTCGAGCTCGAGCTTTCTGACAAGCCGAGTTCTAGCCAGGTTTTAGTTGCTCGTGAACCCACAAGCCGGCTCGGGAGCCTTATTTATTATTTTTATATATATATTTTTTTTAAATAAAATATAATAATATAAAATAGTATAGAAATAAATAAAAATATTAAAAAATATATATAATTACAATTACTTGTTTATTTGTAATTTTTTTTAAAATAATTTTTAATAATAATAAAATATAATTAAAAAAATATTAAAAAAAACAACAAAATGAGCTTGAAATCGAACTCGACAAAATGGACACGAGCTCGAATCTGCCAAAAGAGGCAAACTCGACTCGTTCACACCGAGAGTTACTTGGAAAATGACTATTAACAGCCGAGGGCTTTTAGGTAATTTTAAATCAGTATAAATATAGCTTGATATTACAGACTACAGTAGCAAGAGTCCACTTCTCCCATGTAAAATACCTTCCAAAAATAGATACAGAGCTCCAATATATATATATCCATGGCGCAAGTCCTGACAGAAGAACGCACCAACACCTTCCACAGCTTCTTCGAATCCTGGCTCGTCGAGCAGGACCACTACCTGGAGGAGCTCGTCTCCGCCTCCAAGCGCCGCCGCGTCCACCACCACCCCTCCGCCGCGGACGACGACGACACCGTCCTCCGGCAGAAGATCGCCAGAGTCATCGACCACTACGAGCAGTACTACCGGGCCAAGTCAACCTGCGCCAAGACCGACGCGCTGCCCATGTTCAACCCGCCGTGGCGGAGCAGCCTCGAGGACGCCTTCCTCTGGATCGGCGGCTGGCGCCCCACCATGGCCTTCCACCTCCTCTACTCCAAGTCCGGCCTCCAGCTCCAGGACAAGCTCGCCGACCTCCTCCAGGGCCTCGCCGCCGGCGACCTCGCCGATCTCTCTCCGCCCCAGGTCAACCAGATCAACGACCTGCAGAGGGCCACCGTCAGGGAGGAGAAGGAGATCTCCGAGAAGCTTGCCAAGCAGCAGGAGAAGGTGGCGGATACCTCCATGGTGGAGCTCTCCAACGCGGTCACGGAGGCGATGAGGAATCCCGCCGCCGCGGATGACGGCGGCGGGGGACGAGTGGCGGCGGCGCTGGCGCCGAAGGAGGTGGGGCTGGCGGAGGTGCTGCAGAGGGCGGACGACTTGAGGCTGAAGACGCTGAAGAAGGTGCTCGGGGTGCTCAGCCCGATACAGGGGGTGCATTTCTTGATTGCGGCGGCGGAGCTCCACCTCCGCCTCCATGAGTGGGGAATGAAGAGAGATGCTGACACCGGTCATGCAGCCCAATAAATATTAAGGTAATTAATAATAATAATAAAATAATAATAATTATTATTATATTATGTTTAATTAGTATTATCGAGGAGTTTATTAATGTTGTTTTCGTGGTAGTTTAGTTTTTTTTTTTTGGCCTTGGTAACTCTAGAACTCTATTATATATATCTTTCTTATTATATAAAATAACTATGCTTTGTGTCAATTTTATTTTTTGGTTAAGGCTGTTTTTTTTTTTTTTTAATACCTTATATTCATATTACTTGATTGATTTTTCGTATTTGAAAATATAGATGTATGATATACTGGGTGAAATTTAAAAGGTAATCATTGATTCACAAACAAACACTCACATATAAATTTTATTAACAAAAAATTGGGGTTGGATAAAATGCATTAGATTGGAATTAACATTTTTGAAATAAATTTAATATTTTTTTTAAGTAAAAGGCTAATTTCGTTTTCAATTGCTGAAAAGGAAACAAAGAAAAAAATCCATGCAACATTGGCTTTCAATTGGTGGAAAAATAATAGTACTAATAATATTGATCTTTTATAAGTAGAATAGAATTTATGAACCGTTTAGAAATTCATACACATTGGCTTTCAATTCAAAAGAAATGAGAAATCGAAATTTTTCAAAATACGGAATGAAAATTATTTTCGTTCTAATCTTTCACGGTATAATTTTCCATTCTCCTACACCATTAAAGTATTATGTTTTCAATTATTCACTAGTATTTCACTCGTGCGCTGAACATACTTTAATTTTAAAATGAAAAATAATAATAATATATATATTTGTAACAACTCTAATTCAAGTAAAATAAAATGAAAGGAAATAAAAAGAGATAATCTTTATTTTTTTAATTTAGAGTCGTAACATATGAAATTCAATTAAATATTACAAAGAAAGAGACGCAAAGCGCGTGAAACGCGATATGAAAATTAAGTGAAAGGGTAAATTGCGGCCACCCCTTAGGGTAAGGTCAAAAAATCCCTTCATGTTTAGGTAATTACAATCATCTCCTTCAACTACGAGTCTTCTTCCACGTCCACCCTTATGGTGTCAAATTCAACATAATCTTTCAAAGTATGTCGAATGTTCTCTAGTTTTACTCGTTTTTGTGCAATAATGCATAATATAAGCCAATGAAATGGTAATTAATTGAGAAATAAATGTAGGAAAATCGTTGGAGCCGTACAAAAATAGACCTGAAACAGAAATGTGGAAATAAGCACAATAAATAATCGTCTATTGAAAACTAAGTAAACGAAAATCGACCAAATATTTCTATCTTTACAATCCATCAGTAAGCAGCCGATAAAATTCCATTCAAAACACCACAGACCTGAAAATTAGCTTATAATAAAATATTAGAACTATATATTACTATAAAGGTTTATATAAGAGATCATTCATAAAAAATAAATACCATCATCTATAAAACGTCGTATTATGCTACACAATGTGCATATAACGTACACCCAAACAAGGAGACGACAATTTAGTTATTTATGAAAATTTAAGGTGCAAAGAAGATAAGCACATTAGTTTAAGCAGCGCAATTTGTAGCAAATAAGCCGAAGGTCGGAATCCATGAAACAGGAGTCCGAAGAAACTAACCGAGAAAATATATGAAAGAGACAATAGAAAGGAAGCTAAAGTTTATGTATGAAAAATGGGACGACTGATTAGGAATCATGATGATTCGATCAACGAAGAGGCTTACGCAGATGCTATTTCAGACGGTTTAAGTACTCCAGTACATCCAGCTGCTAAGGCAGGTGCAACTTTCCATGTTGCCATTAACAAAGGGTAGTTCCTGTTAAATTAGGGGGAATTTTTTGTTTTTAAAATGATCCAAGTTATAACAAAATAAATACGAAAATGGTTTAACCAGGATTAGTCTAAAAACAGAAACAGATGGCAAAATATGGCATATATTTCTCTATTAAGGAATAAAAAGGGTAGAGGAACAACAATCCTTCTCATTTAAAAAAAAAAGGAAAAAAAAAAAAGGAATTGATCAACTGAATAAGGACGACCAACCATGGTGTAATCAAACCAACAACTCCAATGAGTTCTTTATAAGCACATTTTATTTTATTCAAATATTAGCATCGAATCGTAAGATAATTGATTAAGCTCAAGTCCTTTCAATTTATTTTATTTTTTTATTATAATATATTTGTTAATAATTTAATTAAAATTATTTAATAATAATGAATATAGGAAGAATAGAATATGAGAAAGAGAGAAATAATAATACGTAATAGAATAGAAACCCCCCATTATGTTATGGGTTGATTACATGGAATATATATAGAGAAATAATGCTAGGTAACAGAGTTTGACTAGGTAACTAAATTCTAACTAATTTAGGTAACCCAATCATACTAGAATCCTAATATTAGGAGAGTTCTATAATATAATATTCTCTAACACGCCCCCGCAGTCGAAACGTGACGAACGTGAAGACTGGACAATCACTTGCTAACACGCCCCCGCAGTCGGAACGAATAAACTTCAAAACGAATAAACTTCAAACGTGAAGACTGGACAGAAACCGCGAAATACATCGCTAGAGAATTCCTCTGTGGAAATATCTGTCCAATTGATAAAAAAAAAAAAAAAAAAAATAATAATAAGAATAATAATAATAATAATAATAATAATTTTTTTTTTTTTTTTTTAATCGAGATAGAGAGAAGAGATGAGAGAGAGGGGTCGCCGGCCATGGAGAAGAAGAGAGGCAGCGGCTAGGTTTCCTTTTTTTTTTTTTTTAATCGAGATAGAAAGAAGAGATGAGAGATGAGAAGAATTCAAAGAAAGATAGAGAAAATAGAGAGAGAAAGGGAGAAGATATGAGAGGGGTAGCCGGCCATGGAGAAGAAGAAGAAGAAAAAGATAGAGAATATACACCACCGAGAGAGGGAGAAAATTCGGTTTGGTGGTCGCCGGCCATGGAGAAGAAGAGAAGCGGCGGCTAGGTTTTAGGCCATGGAGAAGAAGAAGAAGAAGAAGATAGAAAAAGATAGAGAAGATAGATACACCACCGGGGAGGGAGAATATTCAGGTGGTGTTCATAAAAAAGATAGAAAAAAAAAATAAAGAAAAATATTAGAGTACCACCACCGGGGGAGGGAGAAAATTGGGTGGTCACCGCCATGGAGAAGAAAGGCGGCTAGGTTTTCACCGCCATGGAGAAGAAAGGCGGCTAGGTTAAAAAACCTAAACCTGGAGCTCTGATACCATATAGGAAGAATAGAATAGGAGAAAGAGAGAAATAATAATATTACGTAATAGAAACCCCCATTATGTTATGGGTTGATTACATGGAATATGTATAGAGAAATAATGCAAGGTAATAGAGTTTGACTAGGTAACTAAATCCTAACTAATCTAGGTAACCGAATCATACTAGAATCCTAATATTAGAAGAGTTCTATAATATAATATTCTCTAACATTTTCAGACACCTAGTGAAATCGAAGAGATAAAAAGGACGCCTTATGCTTCTGCTATAGGAAGCATAATGTATGGCATGCTGTGTACTAGACCCGATATCGCGTATAGACTTTTGACCTTGGTCCCGTTTGGTCAAGGTCTGAAAATTACAAAAACGTTCTCACTCCTCCATCACTCTTCTCATCTCTTCCATTAAAAGCTCAGATCACTTGCTTCACTTTATCTCCTTCTATTTCGAAAATTGTCCGCAAAGTTGATTCTCGAAATTAAATTTATTTAAATTTTCTTTTACCATTCAGTTTCATGCTCTCATCTTCATGATGTTTGTCATGTTAGGCATATATGTTGCAGCGGAATGAATCAAATAAGTGAATGGTTACGAACCAAAAACTTGATTATATATATTAGAACCAAAAACTTGATTATATATATTAGAACAAAGTTCGCTTCACACCCTTAAACTATAGGATATGTCGCGTTCACACCCCTCAATTTTGAAACTTACGAAAAAGGCTCATATTGTCTTTGGTCAACTAATAAATAATTAACACCGTTAATGTTTGTATAAATTGACAGTTTTGCCCTGAACAATGTTTGAAAATTTTGTTTCTAATTTTCTCTGACACTTGGCAAAAATCGGACCCAAAGTTAAAATTAGAGCTTTTTATTTAATTTAGTTATTTTTTTGGTTTAATTGAACTAGGAATTTAACTATCTTCTTAATTGTACTTACTTTTAAGATCATGCATGGCAGCATCAGTGCTATAAGCAAATTGAGGTTAGTGCTTTGAGTAAATAGCCCACGATTGATTATTTAATTAAAAAAATAAATAATAGAAAAGTATGTTTTTTTTTTTTTGGAAACGAGAAAAGTATGTTTTGAGGTAAGGAAAATAAAAGATTAATTTTGTTGGGCTAATGGAAAATAGGGCCCACAAGGGACTTCAATGCTCATAGGTACAGACAAAAAATAGATTCGTAAAGACCTCATCCCCATGTCTTTGTCTAAATACCCTTCCTAATATAATTTTCATCAATTCCATCCATTATACTCCAACTTCATCGTACATTCACTCCGGATTTGAACAAATATATTTACATTAACCCCTTTTTCATAATTTTTTTAAATTTTTTTTAGAAAGTAATTTTTTTTCGAAATCACTTTTTCCGGACAGATTCTGGCGTTGTCTTTTTTTTTTTCTTCAAAAACTTTGTTTTCTGGCTGGTCAACCGCCGTTAACTGCCGATGTCCGCCGTTGATTTTGTCTTTTTTGAAACTTTTTGTCTTTCTAAATTACTGTGTTAACAACAAAATTATTATATGAAACAGTAATATTGAATGCCAAAACAGTAATATTACTGTCCCGAAAAATAATATTACTAATATTACTAACCCAAACAGTAATAATACTACATGAGACAGTAATATTACGGTCGAAGACAACAAAATTGCAGGTCAAGGCGATAAAATTAATTAATACAGTAAAATTACTGCATCAAACAGTTATATTATTGTCTCATACAGTTAAATTACTCTCCCTGACAATAATATTAATTAAAATATTTTTTTTAAACACAAACATTGTTAAAAAAAATACAACAACTCCCGAGACCGGAGATCAACGGCGATTGACCTGCCGGAAAAGAAATTTCAGAAAAAAAAAAAAAGTTTTCAAAAAAAAAAAATCAACGCTGAGACCGGCTTTCTC